ACACACGAGGGGATCTAAGCCATAAAATGAGCAGGTCATAATGGCTGCAGTCGACAGTGGGCGTGTCCATTGTTGTGGGCGTGGTTGTCAGATCAGTGTCATAAACTGATTTTAATAAACTGGTGGAAAAAAGTGCAAACCCTAACCCTCAGTTTTCAGAATAAAAGCTTTCTTAAACTCTCACAGCTCCACAGGTGGACGCTGCACGTCTGCTGCTCTGCTGAAGCATCACAGGAATAATTAGCGACACTTACAGTCACATCCAAATAAAACGTCACTCAGAGGCCACGCCCATATTAATGCAAATTTGCATACTTGCATAAATAAAATCTGCAGGCTCACTGACAGGAAACAGCGTCTGCTGCTCTTTCAGAAGAGGCTGAGAGCATCGAGAAAGAGCTGATTCTGGAATGTTCTCCTGGAGCTGAGGGGACCTCACTGACGTCACTGCAGACACACTTCAGCTCCTATATGATGAAACTGTAGAGCTTTTTAAGCACCGTCCAAAGACTGAAATGGAAACCAGCTGCAGATGGAGAGGATGGAAGTTCAACAGTGACAAAAACACGAACCTGCAGAGAAACTAATCTTTGTTTTACAGATGTCAGCTTTCATCAGCGCCATTTGTCCTGTTTTAAATATTAGTCTACAGATACGAACACATTATTAACCACACAGCACAGTTTCAACTCGAAGCTTTTACATTCACAGCAGTTAGCAAAGCTTTGAGATCCCACAGCGTCCATGAATGTCTGCATCCCCGCGAGGCAGAGCCTCGGCACGCTTCGAGACTCGCACGGCAATCCTCAGCCTTTGACTTCCTCTCCAACACATTTGTTTCATTATTATTGGATTATCTGAACTTTGTCTGTTTCTGGTGTTCTTCAGCACATTGAGCTCGATGTTACTCAAAGGCAGTGACTTGTGTTTGTCTCCTTCCCCAGAATAATCCTCAGATTAATGCTGGGATGGATTTCATGACTCCTGGTTGAGAGGAGGAAATTAAAAACCAAACAAACTTCAGTGCGATCTTGGTGGTCTTGGCAATATTCACATGAGCTCACGTCAGGGGAGCCAAATGAAGGTCACTGAAATAATACAGAACGATAAGAAATGTTTTCATTTTATATTTTGTGTTTGTCTGTAACAGACGGTCACAACATGTTTAAATATTTTAACTGATGTGTTTTGTGTCCTTTTAAATAATAAAAATCTCATAAAACTTGTGCAAATGTTGTTTTCTCAAAAATCTATTTTTAGCGTCTTCATCCCAGTGATAAGTTCAGGATGTTTGAAACAGGAATCGATCAGAAATAAGGTTGTGTTTAGAAACAAAATCGATTTTAGTCTGAATAAAGTGATCTCGAGTCATTAAATCCTGGATTTAAATATGAATGTGATTTATCAGAAACTCCAGAATCAGCTCAACCAGGAGATGAGAGCAGAAACACAGAGCGTGGATCGTCCACAGAGCGTGGATCGTCCACAGACGCGCCGTCGGGGCTGAAACACAATGATCGCTCAGCTGTGATCAAACCTCTGTGACTCTGCTTCCCTTCAGCAGCATCAGCTTCATGTGTTGATTCACGGTTTGCTTCAGTTTTTGATCGACTGCAGAAGATTTTGAAGCTTCGAACGAGTTTTTCACACTGAATCGACTCGATGATAGAAATCGGTGAGGACACCAGCCCTAATCAGAAAGAATTGATCGTCCATGCATTCTGGCTCTGACTCCACCCGAGCCTCCAGCAAACTTTCCCCATATGGAAAAGATCTATATAAATCATATAAAGTTTGTATCCGTCTTGTATGAAACTTGTATGAAAAGCACACATAATTAAACTTGTATGTTTTGTATACTTACTAAAAAAATATATGAAAGTAATGAGAAAGTTTCACTTTCATGAGTAAATCATATAAGTTTTTACTATTTCTTTTCCATGTGGGTTCCCATGCAGTAAAAGCTAACAGCTGATGGACTGAGCGATGATTTTATAACCTGAAATGTGAAAAGTTGACTCTGAGTTTGATAAAAACTAAACTGATGTCGTTTCCAAACAGTTTCTGCTTGAAATGAAAAAGCTCTTTAGATTTTGGATGTTAGAGCATTTGAGACATTTCAGCAGTATTCAGATGAAGCCACAGTCACACTGCAGCACCACAGGCTGAGGCTAACAAAGAGTCTACAAACAGCAGGTAATAAAACCACAAAACCTGCACCTCATCGCGTCTCAGTGATGAACCACAAAGTAAAACATCTGAACGACTGTCTCTGACTAAAAATCAAACAATCATCACAAAAACTGCTGCAGGAAAAAAACTTTCTGTGCATTAAAAAGCCTCCATAGACTCATTTACCTCACAGACGAAATGCAAACAAAGCACTTTAAATCATCAGCTCCTGTTAGTCTTTGCATGAATAATAATCAGTAATAGGAATGAATCATTTCCCCACACTTGTCCTCCTTTAAAGGAAACATTCATAGCTAAGCGTCACCTTTCTGCTGTCTGACACAACATTCATGTTAAAACTGACATAAATGAATTCACAGGTTAAAACTGACGAGTTTCTAAACCAATGAAAACACAGAGAAGCTGCATGAGCATCAGCCTCTGAATCAAAGCCCTTCACTATCTGCTCTTTATAAATCACTGCAGCCATCCTGCCCATGCACAGGAGAGTCACTTACAGATGTGGCGCTCTGCGTCCGTGCCCTCCACGCACAGCACACGAGTGTGAAGCCATATAGGGAGCTGTAACTTGTTCTGTAGGAAACGCCTTCCTGCCGTCTCCACTCCTCCCACCAGCCTGCAGTGGGGGAGAAGTGATTGCTCATGTGAGTGTAATTTATAACTAAAGACACCTGATTGGTCTGTTTACATGTTGTTCTGCAGGACACCTGCTTCCTGTTTTCTTCCTTGAGCTTCTACATACTTGGTTGCTTCTCTGTGTTGTTTCAGAGGACACACACCGGTGGGCTCTTCAGACGATGATACAACATGTGTACCTATGTTCAGATGAACCAGCTTACAGCTTTGACTTCATGGTTGATCAGCTCATGATCTGCTTCTCCAGGAAAGTCCCGCCTTCTTCAGAGGAACAGACCCTGCATGCTGTACAGGCCCCGCCTTTTCCTTGGAGCCCCCATGACAGGAAACTAGTTTGTGGTGCTGATAACAGTCAGTGACGAGAATGAGACGACTCCCAACATCTGCTCGAGAAACAAAAAGACTTTCTGAAGAAGTGGAGCGCACTTGTTCACTGGGGGAGGTTTTTCTTCCCTGCAAGAAAAATCCAAGACAGGAATTCTCATCAATGAATCAGCTTCAAGTGAAACATGAGCCACAGACCCCATCTGCCTCCCTCGCAGCGCCCCGAGGCCGCAAGGCAGAATGTTTCAGCTTGTACACATCTGGATGTGCATTAAGGCTGATCAATGACATTTAAAAAATAAAATCGTATCAGAAACCTGAGCTCGGACTTCCTGGAGCCCCGAAAGAGAGTTTTATATTTGGCATTGTGGTATTTTGACTGGTGTTTTCTTATTTCTCGTTCGGATCTTCCTGGATGGTTTTATGTCTACATTCTCAGATCCTCTCAGATCTAGTCTGTGTGTTACGGGTTTCGGGTGTTTGTGGACCCAAAAGCAGACACAGGACAGAGAAAACTCAGGTGTAACAAAAAGTGAGCCGTTTATCAGGCTGATGGCAAAAAACTAAATCAAGGTGAACGGGAGAAACTAAAGCTGTGACATGAACACAGCCTGAACAGCAACATGAAGACAACCTGAGACATGAAGAGACTCACGGGACAAACGAGAGACAAACACACAGGGAAGTGGAAACACAGCTGAATGAGCCTGAACGCCACACAGGAAGTAAACACACTGAACATCAGACTCTTCAAAATCAAACAGCAACAACAAGAGACGAAGACATGACGAGCTCGACAAATGTGGAACGAGGAACAGCAGACGTGACAGACGGAGAGACTCAGATAAGAGGGACGAGGACACGGGCATGACTGACAGCAACACAGAGGACAAGACAGACACATAGAAGAGACATAACTAGACTCAACTAAACACCAACTAAAATAATAACACAATCATTAAACAAAATAAACTGAAAACACTGGGTGACAGATCTATGATTGTTCCTGTTGTTGTTTGTATGTTAGAGATGCTCGGTGATTCGTGTCTGCTCTCTGCTCATCAGCTCCCGAGTATTTAGAGGTGATGTCTTCAGTCTCAGTCGGTGTGTCTGTGTCCTCCAGCTTAGCTTACGCTCTGTTTGGGCTCAGTTTCATGTTTTCCTCACACTGTACGTTCTCCCTGTTTGCACTCTGGGTCCTCATCACGGTCCACACGATCTGCTTTGTCTCCAGACTTTGACACGTGGACGCTCTGTTACAGTGACCTCACAGCAGCCATGTTGTTGGTCACATCAGCCTTTAAAACCCACGCAGAGCAACGAGTTAATCGCGCTGCGCACACACTGACCTCATGGAGCTGTGACTCTCAGAGACATAAACATGTCTGTAAAAGAAATGTGGGTGTGTGCGTGTGTGTGTGCGTGTGCGTGATGGCCACAGTGATGGATCACTGCAGATATGGACAAAGGTATTTGGTTTGGCTGTGGATGGGATGCGGGGGAGGAGGAGCAGGGACGCTGGAGGAAGGCTCCGAACATGTTCGCGTCACATCAGAGCGTCCTGCTGAAACCTGAAGACCAAAAATGAAAAATAATTTTCTGAATTGAAGGAAGCAGCTGTTTGTTCCAGCGCTGCTGTTTGAATGTTCATCTTCTGCTCTTTAGCTCCTCACATGATTTAATCTGGTGTAAGTTTGTACTGCTGAAACACACAAAACAGTAACTACATGCACAGATTATTAATGTGAAAATATGCAGCATTAAATACTTTCAAAGCCAGGAAACATGTTGCTCTGTCCTGTTATCATGCTGAACTGTCATGATGGATGCTTTGTGAGAGAGCGCCGCTGGCTGCAGTCGGC